GACCTTAATGTCGAGGGTCACGAATACCGCGACCGTTACCGCTCTTCGGATGGGCATCGTTTTACATTTGTTTACTCGCTGCGCTACCAACAATCGTGGCACCAAAGCCTTTGTGCCGTATCAGCTCGTTCACCTTTCATTTCGAAATAACCGAATTTTGGCGGGACGCTGACGAAACTCCGATTCTTGAGGTCCTCGCGGCGCGAAGAATTTTTCGAAATTTTTCAATTTAATTCGGAGCAATGGTATCGGATACAAGCGCGCGTTTATTAAGGGTATTATTCAGGTCTTCGTGGTGTGTGTTATTTGTTTAGGATTTCTTAATGTTATTTGGAGCATTGATATTGGATACAGCGTGTGTTTATTAAGGCCGATCGCACACGGGCGATCTAGGTAAAACAAAGATAGTTGAGTAGGTAAAATAAAGAGCGCAAACGGTTTGCAACACTAATTTCAAATCGGTTGCGCCCGTGTGCGTTCGGCCTGAGGGTACTATTACAGAAATGATCTATTTTTAGGAATAGCGATTAGTACAAAGCTAAAAATCATCGATCAAATGGCGAGAAATGATCGTCGATAAATAAATGCGAGAAACGTTGCTTTAATTCAAGAATAATATTTCAAGCGTAACGAGCTCTATCGCGTAGTATATCGGTCGAAAGAATACAATGCACGAGTACAGCGAGAAAAAAAAGGTTACATTATTCAGGCGCTCATTTGACTGTTAAAAACCATCTGCATATTAAGCGAGGTGTTTCTTTGTTTCAAATTTATTCAGCCTCGAGGCAAAAGCGCATAATCGGTTCATGCAGCGATTGCATATGATACGACTGCGTCGATCTTACGTGTTTTAGAATCGAGCACGCGAAGGTGAAGGATTGTAGGATTTTGTATCAAATATATCTGATTTTTTTTTATCTTAAACGAAAGTATGGATGCAATTAAACTTCTTGCCGTATTAAAAAGAGAAGAAAATTTTTAAGTCCCTTTATTTTTCGTAATTATCTTTCCTTTGGTAATTATTTAGTTCGCGATCCTGTCTGATTATTTTTGCGACCGCGACTCCATTTCGAAGACGAGGTTCGGTTTACCGATAATTAAAGCGTCACCTGCAAATTGAGGTATGATTTTGCAGAAGCCTATACGATCTTGGATCGTTATTCATAGGAGCTTCGCCCACTATGATTGGCTTAGGGGTCGATGACCATGCTACGAACATGTAGCAATTACTAGGGTGTCACTGAAAGGGTTCTACGATGTTCGATCGATCCACCCTGTATTACAGTTATCACGGCTATCGTGAACGTGGCAAATTAAGAGAAATTATACCTCACGGAGTGGCGAATATTAGTCGGGTAACATTTTTTTTCTACTTTAAATAAGCCAGGATTAATGGAATTTTCAAGCAGAACAAAGTTCGAGTAAAATAGGACAAATTGAAAGCGTGAATATTTCACACTCTAGCGAGAATACCATTAATTAGTATATCTACGATACACGGTATACGCGACACGTAGCATTTTATCGAGTTTAGGATTATTTGGAATCCTCATGCGCGAGGATTTAAAGCAGATAACGAAGAGATATGTAAAAATGTTTGTTTTGTTGTATCATAGATACAATGTGGCAAGAGCATTAACTGGAAATTTCTAGCGAAACAATGGAAACGGTTTCTGAAAATGTTTCGATTTTTTTGTTTATTTTATTATTAAATTCATAGACATCTCGCGTTTAAGTAATTCGATGAAAAGTTCGTAACGATCTGTCTCGCTGCAGTTCTTTTTCGAGCCACTTCAAAGGAAGAATTTTTATTAGAAAATGATATCTGTATCAATTAAAACAAAATTTGAGATAACCGATCGTGGCGTAAGAATAGAATAGTCTGGCGTGATTCGCAGTTGAGAAACTGGTCAGTTGATCTTGAACCAAGTAGCTTCGCACGCTTCCAGACTTCCTTCTTTCGAGTACTATATCTTTGGCGAGGAGTATCAATCTTGCACAATAATTAAGTCATTAATCCCTGATAGAAGTACAATTTAAAAGGTTAGTATTATCTCAAAGAAGCACTATTATTTAAAATGAAGATTCAATTTCGAACTAGCCCTATCATTTCAAAAAGTATTTAAAAAAAATTTAATATTCCACAGAAGAAGCCTCATTGTTATTTGAAATAGTAAGATTCTCTCGAACGAGCGTTACTATTTAAAATACTAATACCACTCGATACAAGTATCATCGTCCCGGAATAATAACATTATACAGAACAAGCATTGCACATTACCATTCCAAATAGTAACGTTTGTTCTGGTTAACCGCGTGTTTAAAGTATTCATTCGCAATATTCGAAGCGTGCAGCACACGGATGTCGACGTTTAATTTATGTAAGAGCGTTTTCAGCGTTCACAGCAAACAGCTCGTCAAGTGGGTGGTACAAGTATTAACCTTCGATACTAATTACTCGAGACGATGAGACTCCCGGTTTTTAAATTCGTCTCGCTATCAGATTATCAGCAGCTACGACGGTAAGCGATGATACCGAGCGTAGAGGACCCTCGACACTATCGTCATCCTAGACGATAAATCGAGCCTCGTCATCGATCTATCTTACTTCGATGCGAACGATCCGCGCAAAGTCCAATTTGCCAACGAATTTCGTAGCACGATTTCCTCTTTCCTCCCCGTCGATAGTAATTTCTCTCCTCTTCGGCGAGTACCTGCGAACCGAACAAATCGTCTCGCGTTTGTTTTCCCATCGGACATTACGTAAATGCCACTCTTCCGTTCTTTATTCAGTTTTAATCTGCGAAGCGGAATCGCGTTTGCAATTAAGTAAATAGATAACGCTTCCCGTTGGCGTGTAAGTTCATCGTCCTGACCTTGCGTAATTTCAGGAGTACCATCGTCGTGTGTGCTCCAGACGACGTAAATGATCGCGCGAATCACAGAGATTCTCCCTGGTCACGGTGACGTCAACTGGTAACGAGGAGCTCGGGCCATTAATGCTTTAATGACGAGATCGACCGCGAGATTGTTTTCCTTTGATTGGTCCGTACCACGTACTCGCAGATAAACGATCGAGAACGGAATTCCGATAGCTGGCAACTAAGTGTTTTCCATTAATCGAGACGAAACACATGAGAATTCTTCCGGTATTCGCCGAGTAAATGCTGGCGTTAACGTAACCTTAAAAAATAGCCACCGGTGGTCCTCTTCTTGCGCGTCGCTCGTTCAACCAGCTGTCGAGTCTTCGTCGCGTTCTTTCTTTACCGCAAATCAATTCGAAACTGAATTATTGCGTTAGGTTAATGTTGCGACACTCTAAGTTGCACTGTCGTAAAATTTGTATCTTATTTTATAAATGAGAAATATGTTAGGTTCAAATGTCCTTATTGCTTCCTCGAGGTCTGGTCATAAAAGGATGTTTTCAACGTTAAATATGAGCTCATACATAAATGCAGTCAATTATTTACAGATGTGGTCTTTTAAGTATAGTAATAAGTTTTTTTTAAGCTCAACTTGGTGGACATTAAGGACGTATAGCAGATACATTTTGCTGATTGTTAGTCTTCTATAATTATTGCAATTGTTATAAGTAAAATGTTACGGCTGCTGAATTTCGTACGTGTAGATAAATCGTCAGGACTAGGCTGCGGATTTGTATGCAAAATCTTGGCAAACGTACCTACGAAAATTGAACCTAAATAGGAATTTTTTTTATTTTATTTTATTATTTAATTTTCTAAATGTTCCAAATGTGTTTATGGATATTATAAATCAATAATAGAATGTCCTTTACAACAGTAAACGTAAATATTATTCCAAAAAATAAGGTATCATTAATTTTTAATAGGGGTCTGAACCTCGAGCACGTAGTTTTTCGTCCTACGAACGGGCATCGTTCGTTTGACTAATCTAAATCGAATTTCACTTTACACTTTGCACTTTACAAGTTCGCAGCCATTAGCTCGATATTATTCGTGACGAAGGATCGTTCGTCACAACTCTACATATGGTAGAGTCGACGAGCTTAATACCAAGTACGCGCGATCGCGAGATCCATATCGACCGAAGGATCGTCGAAGAATGAGCTCTCACCTCTCGCATACTTACCTGTGTCGGTCGAGGGTCGCGACTCGCTTGTGCCTCTCGAAGTAGAGAAGGAGAAGGGCGAACAACAACCGCGTGACGTGTCGTGACATGTCGATTCGAAGGATCGTTGGATCCGTCCACAAAAGAATTTACGAAACGTTAATACCACAGCATAATAAGTATTATTAATAATTAATTTAACTATTGTCAGAAATTAATATTTAGTTGGTGAAATCAACAGATATTAAAATATTGACAAATGTCTGACGATTAATGTCTCGAATGAATACTTATTCTGAACCGTAATTGCTATTAATATTTAATCGAACACCGAATGATACTGTATGTATCATAAATGTTTAATTATTTCGGATTAACTTTTAATTGTTCGAATCAGTAGATATTAAAATACAGAAAAATATCTCACGACAAGACGTGTAACGGGACATATTTATGCTGTTGTTACCCACCCATTTCATCTCCTCACAGCATTTTTCACCATATAACGAGACATGAATTTCGACTGTTCGAAAATAAAAAGATTTTGAATCTTAAAAAATAAATAATAAATATAATGTACAAGAATTGTGACAATTTTAATTTAGAAGCGTCCGATAGTCGAGAAATTCTGCTACTCTTTTATCAATTTCCCCGTCTCTCGGCCCTTTGGTAACACGTCGAACGATCACGAGCAGTGTGGGTGTTAACCCCGTCACGTTGGAGAGGCGCCTCCGACACGTCCTCCACCGCCTCCTCCCCCTCCCGGAAAACGGAGTAGTCGACTGATAAATTCCCAAGCGCGAGAACGTGTGCAACGCGGACAGTACAGTAGCTCGAAGATGCGATAGATAGTGGCCCGGTCGGTAATTAGCGGCTGCTGATTGGTCACCTTCCTCGGCATACCCGAGTGCCAGCCGGGGATGAGGGATCGTATAAACACGTCGCGTGGAGGACGTGGTGGGGGCTTATTTACTCGGCGTTCGAGCCATGCTGGATCGACCGATCGTCGACGAAACGGCGAACGCCAGTCCGCGAGTGACACTTGCCGTGATCGCGCGATCCTCTTGAGTGAACTGGTGCGCCCTCTGATTTCTGCTCCGACGTGGAATTACGACGTGTCGAACTCGTGTGTCGTATGTGTTGATCAGTGTTCCCTATTGTTCGGAGACTTGTATCTGCGCGTAGCTACGTAGATTCGCGGATCGATTTAAATAGATCATCTTTTCGGAGGCTTCTACGCGGTTGGATCTGTGTAGATCTTTCGTATTTCCGATATCGATATTAAATTAATCGAATCGTCGTCGACGTGGACGTTAGCGTGTGTGTCACGGATTTCCATCGGTGCAATTCGGTGGGTCGCGAACACGTGGACCGCGCTGACTGACATGGAACATTGCTCGACGGGCAAGATCAGGTACCAAGCCAGAGCGCGTGGATCGATAGCTGCGATCGTCGTCGATCTTCAGTCGGTGCGCGTGGCTCGTTGAGTGGCAGATCGCTTCGGGCCAGCGGTCCTCGGGGATCTAATGGCACCCGACCTTGAGAAAAAGCGGCAGGAACTCAGGAGGACCGGCAGCGGTAACTTAGAATCGGGCCACGAACACTTTCAGATGCTCCTCCAGCTCCAGTGCGCCGGAAATGCGTTGACCGAGCACTATCGACATGGTGAGTCCGATTCGACACCATTTTCGCGGTCAATCGTGCTATCGTTAACCTCTTCGCGACCCCGTGGTATCCATGCGCACCAGTTTCGATAGATTCTTATTGTTATCGCGGTAGCCCCTTTGTCTGTTTTCCTTTCAATCCATTTGCATAATTAGCGCGCATATACGCGCGATTTTTCTGACTATTAACACCGTAACGAATATATACGCTCCTTTACAGCGAAGAATGTCGAGTCTGGGTAGCACGGTTAAAATAAATATCGACGAGTGAGTTAGTAGGGAGTCTTATCATGAAGTAATCGACGCAAGATGTACTTATAGGGTGACCATGTTTTATCAACGCAAAAAGGGACGCGTTAAATATATTCGTATATAAGTTGAAATTCTTATTTCATTTCCGTCTTTCAAAAGTTAGCGGAGTATTAAGTTAGTAGAAGGTTTGAAAATATTTGTGGCTAGTTTTGATCAAATAAGTTGAAAGATGGGGCTATTCTTATTTATAACTAAATTGGATTTTTCCATACTAGAGAAATTTTTGCATGTCGTTTAGAAAATCAAAGATTTTCCAAATAGGCAACTAAGATATTTCTTTTAAACCATTTATTTATGACCAAGTAATTGTGGACTAGAGAAAGAAGTATAATAATATTCACTGCATTTATGTAGAGGCAGATAGGGGCTAATATATAATAGTATAATAAAGGGTTGATTAAATTCAAGAGTCCCTCTGAGTAAAGCCGCAGTATACATCATTTTTCAACTCGTAGGCAATTGTGAAATTAAAAACCAGCTGGTCGAGCTTCAAAGCGGTGTCGCGTGCGCGTATCAGTGTGGCAGCCGCAAACTGAAGCCTTTTATTACGTGGATCAATTAAATAATATGTGTCGCTTGCCAAGATAAACAGACTAGTACAAGTAAGTGTAGCATATACGAGCATAGCCAGTTTTGGTCCCTTTGGATGTAAAGAAATAGCAGAATATTTTAGAAAAATTGTTATAGCGTTGTTACATAATGAAGATTAGAAGTAATTGACATTAGGTAGATGATGCAATACAGTTTCCTACATTTTGAATAATTTTATTCAGCTGTCTTTTAATCGCGACGCGCCTTTATATGCCGTACCATTTATGGGATATTTGCACTGGCATAAATGGCCCAATAACAGGTTACATTTCCTCCTTCGACCTGCAAAATGTTGTTGCATATTTCGATGTTGCGGTCGTCGTTTTAATTATTAATGCAAAGTTAATTTATGAATCATGCTGCGAAGAGTAATCAGGAAATCCCCCTAACGAGGTAAATAATACTGATCTGTATCTCAGAAAGGAACTATGATGAGTCGTTTTGTATACTTACATACTTTTGAATACTTTCGATTAAATACATGTAATGTTAATCATATCGAACACTTTTATCTCCAAATTTGAAAATTTGACTTAACATAGATTCTCTGAGGTTTGTTATTGTTTAACTCATCGTGTTTCTATGTGATTTTGAGTTCCAGTAACACGAACACGCTCGAGGCCAGCTTTTGTTGGTTTTGAAAGTCATCTTTGTATTATATCATCGTTCAAGCTTGATTTAAGAGAAATATCTTCGTGAAATTTAACGGGCATGGTCGAGATCTCAGGGTTTTGCAATTGGGATGTACACAGGATGATTAATTGCCGGAATTAAAAAACATTATGACGAATTGCGTGGCGTAGGCGGAGGCCCAGATTAAATGATAAGAGTTTCTCGTTTTCGTTTCATGGATTTCTTTGATATCTATGGAAACACATTCGTTTTCTAGAGTTTATCGACACGAATAAAAACAAAATTAAAATACGTTTAGTAATATTTTTATTGTGTCTAAAAATTTAATCGTCCCGATAAATAACCAACAACCATATACTTTGAAAATTTTCACGTGCTGTACCAATTACTATATGTATATCCTATTGAAACTTTTTCAGAGATACAGCCACATAATGTGTTCACGATTAGTTCTAAAGTTGCTTTGAATGTTGTATCACTGAAACTTTGAATAAATATCCATAATTGAATTTCTCGAGTGATGTAACACGAAAACGTCGCCTCAAGATTGATGGATGTTACAGGTCAAATATTTCTTCATTTGTGACAAAATAATTTGTACCTGAAGAGGTTGTAAAAAAGAAACCACATCACGCGCAAAGTTAGTCTGTGTCAACGTTCAACTATTTCTTGTATTTGTTGCAACAATTTCTTGTACGAGCTTGACATTTTACACCACATCGAGCTCAAGACTCGCGACTGGCACGTTAATCTTTAAGTTTACGCCGAACACTAACGGGTCAAAGCTTATGTCGCAAGCGTCGAGTTCAAAGTTCCGAACTTGTGCCGTACACATCGAGCCCAATGCTCATAGCGTCAACGTGAATTTGATTCTCTGTCACGGTCGAGCTACTCGTTCGCGGAGCGTTTCAAAATTTTCGGGATTTTCGGGTTTCGGACCGTCCATTGTGAAAGGACGTGCTCGTGGCCGAATTTTAGCGAGGATTTCACGGGGAAAGTTTCATCGACGTGTGCTCGTGCCTCTTGACGTAGGACTACGATTTTATGGGAGCATGTATGGTAATTCGGAATTGTGTAAGATGGAGCTCGCGAACCGTGGACATTTTTTCACGTGACGTTTGGACAAGATATGCTTTTCATTGTACGATAGTTTGCATGTTAAACGAAAGGGGGAGTTATAAATCGTTATTTAATTTTAGAACTCCCGAAAACAATATGAGCACTCGTTGCCAGTCATGAAATTCAACGGAACGAGCAATTTTATTATAGAATCTTTTCTTCAAACTATACATTCGAGGAACGTGCTAGTTTTCTGGTTGGCGAGAACAACTGTTTCTGTAGAATTTTACGTTCCATCGTAGGCTGTTAATAAATTCATCGGTAATCGTAATTAGGCGGCGATTAACTTAAGGACTTTATAATGTGTTCTGGTTCGTGCTTGTTACGAAACTTTTCTATCTGCACAGTTAATCTCTGCGAGCAGCTTTTCAACGTTTTCGATTCCGCCTACAGGCTTCTTTTACAAAAACATTTACGATCGTGCAACTAAATGATAGTAAATTAACAGAAATTTAATAGAATAATGGTATCGGTGTACATGTTCGGAAGGAATGCAATCGTGGTCATTGTTCTCTCAAAGTATTTTTAATTCAACAATATTTGATCAGACAATTTCAGATGACTTTCAAATAAGGCCTAACGTACAAGGTCGAAAACATTAAAAAAGATGTTCGCGACGACTAATTACGCACGATTTTAGTCAAATACTACTCGATACTAAAACTCACGACAAACAGGAAATGTATTTCTGAAGGTGTTTCGAATCGTCTATCTTAAATTACCCATTATGGGCAACATGTCTCGAAAGATTTACTTGAACGATAAGGATGTTTGTGCGTCGCTAGAGAATTTTTTGATCTATCTGTAAATGAGCTTAAGTGATCGCAGACGTAATGGGTTTAAACAATATGAAGAATGCAATTGTGCGATGTCGACCATGAAGTCGTTCCTAGAAATGTTTGAAAATTGGCCATTTTCTTTCTACGTGATCGTAACGATCGCAAGCTATCGTAATGGTGTGAAGTTTTTATCAGTTAATATCGAAAATTAATTCGCTTGAATCGAACAATTCTAGGATCCTGTACATCGGTAAACGCTTCTGGGAACGTAGGTGAGTCTCTGTTTTGTCGAAGAATCCGAGCATGATGCATCGTTACTGCCGGGATTCGCGCGCATTGCTTGCATTCTTTATGAAATTGTCCGCAATCGTGACGTTCTCTGGGAATCATACTACGCATTTTGTATCTTGACTGGTATAGTCGGTACACGATACTCCGTACGTATGTTGTGGAACGTTTCAAGGGATTACTAGACTCTGAAACTGTAGAATTCTTATTGTGTGTAGATACAGTATAATTTCTTGGGTTGAAATCTACGTTAAATATTTCTAGGATATTATAGTTTTACAAGCTCTCATTCTACTCACGGAATATGTATTATTAATAGGGAGTTCAGTTATATTGTGTCTAATTTCTATAATCAGTTCTAATTCAGAGAAAAAGTAGTTCAGCAATTAATATTAACAGTAAATCGAAGGGAAAGTATTTTATCGATTGATATTAAAAATAATTGAAATTATACAGCTGAGAATTTTCCTGAGCCTGCGCAGAACTTATGGGAATCAAATGAATAGTTAACAGGGTGACACAGTTTCACGAAATGTTTGAGAACCACTGCACTCGTTAGTTTTCTGGAAAATCATTAATCGAGATGAATCTTGTAAAATTCCTTCTGATACAGAAGTTGTCTGGTCGGAGTAATTAGAGTATCGCGTGTTGAAATGAGACAGATGTTTCGCTACTCATTCTATGTAACTAAATACTCGGTAAAAACCAGAAAAGCAACGATAAACGTACAACGTTTGTTTGATTCCTGACGTTTCAATAATAATAGTAAATGTAACCCAGCTAATTCTAACGGAGTATTCTATTTTCCATATTCACGAAAAGAATTCACCGACGATAACTAGTTCCATTCTTATTTTTATTTCTCCTTTTTTTATTCCCACTTTATTTTTGACGTCACGCCTCTAATACTTTTAATCGTACGAAGCTCATCGAAGTCTCATCTATCTTGTTACATAATTTAGATTAAAGAATGTCCTGTACATTTTCCTGATCCAAGGCGCGAAAAGTTTCACGAGGCAAATAAGATACATTTACGTAACCGTTGGAATTTATCATAATAAAAATTTGCAGAATCCTTCTCATCGAGACACGGTTAAAACAAAAAAAAAAAAATTATTTCTATAGCGCGAAAACTGAAGAAACATACCATTCGCACCTTTTTACTATACAAAATTAGCATAAAAAATACACCCACTTAATGCAATAAAATATTACCTCTAATTACTGCACTTTTGAGTCCATCTTTTGTCTCTATTACCAAGCTTCCGAGTCAGGACCT